GGGTTGTGATCCGTTGCCGGACACGGAAAAAAGACAAAAGACAAAAAAAAAAAAAGAAATTAAATATCTAAGTTTAGTAACATAAATTGTATAAAAAAATCAATAAAACAGTATAAACACAAGGGTACTTCAAAAAGTTTGTGGAAAAATAGAATTGAAGATAATGGAAGTCTTTCCATGACCTTTCGTTGTTTTTTTTAAATTTTTCCTTTTTCTTTTTCTTTAAAAAAGACCAAGATCATAGAAAATATGTTCTCTAACTATGATAACAGAACGAAATTTAGAAAACTCACAAACATGTAGAAATTTAATAACACTCTCCCAAATAAACAATGGGTAAAAATAAAAATCACAGGGAGATCAGAGAGTACTCTGAGATAAAAAAGTGCAACATATCAAAATTTTTAGGATGCAGGGCAGGGGGCAAAGACACAACCATCACAATAATTTCTTGAACTTAAGATAAATGTACAGATGTGATGCTGATGGGGCGAGTAGGGAAAAAAGGAGGCGGGAAAGGAGGAACTGGTAAAGGGACATGAAAATCAACTACATTGTATATTGATAAATTAAAATAAATAAATAAGCAAAATGTATAGGCTGCAGGCTTGTTCAATGCTTAGAGGAAAATTTATATTTGTAAATACCTATATTAAAAATAAGAAAAATCTCAAATCAGTATCGTAAACTTCTACCTTACGAAAATAGAAAAAGAGCAAACTAAACCAAAAGCAAATATAAGCAGGGAATAACAAAGATTGCAACAGAAGTATATGAAATAGGGAATTAAAAAACAAGAGAGAAAAATCAACAAAATCAAAAGTTGATTCTTTAAAAAAGATCAACAAAATCTGCAAACCTCTCTGTAGACTGACCAAGAAAAAAAGAGAGAAGACTGTAATTACTAAAATCAGAAATAATGTAGGGGCATTATTATATCGTTACTCTGCCTTTTTGTGGTGATAAGATTTAGTTTCTTTCTCTTTCTCATTTGCATTTTTATTCTAACAGAGGGCTTTGTTCTTTCTTGTGTATTCGTAGTAGTGATTATCATTTTCTAGATTCCACACGCAGGACTTCCTTGAGGATTTCTTGTAGGGCGGTCATGTGGTGGTGAACTCCTGTAGTTTTTGTTTGTCTGGAAAATACACCATTTTCCCCTCATTTCTGAAGGATAGCTTTGCTGGGTATAGTTTTCTTGGCTCGCAGTTTTTTTCTTTCAGTGTTTTGAATATATCATCTCATTTTATTCTGGCCTGTAGAGTTTCTGTTGAGAAGTCTGCTGTTAGTCTGGTAGAGGTTCCCTTGTAGGTGACTTGACACTTTTCTCTTGTTTTTTTAAGATTCTCTTTTTGTCTTTGAGCTTTGCCAGTCTTACTATAATGTGTCTTGGAGAGGATCTTTTTGGGTTGAATTTGTTTAGGGATGTTTGAGCCTCCCAGATCTGAAGGTCTATGTCTTTCCATATACCTGGGAAGTTTTCCATTATTATTTCATTGAATAGTTTTTCCATGCCTTTTCCTTTCTCCTCCCCTTCTGGAACATCCATGATTCAGATGTTTGTGCACCTTAGGTTGCCTGCTAGCTCTCTTAGATTTTCTTCATTTATTTAAATTCTTTTTTCCTTTTTTCTTTTGTCCACCTGGGTTATTTAGAAAAGACTGTCTTTAAGATCAGAAATTCCTTCTTCTGCTTGTTCTAGCTTGCTGCCTAAGCTGTTGGTTTTGTTTTTTATTTTGTTGGGTGAATCTTTGAATTCTACCAGTTCTGCTACATTCCTTTTTTAAAGTTTAATCTCTTTGTAAACTTCTTCCTTCATGTCCTGGATTTTTTTTCTCATTTCATTATGTTGTCTAACTGAGTCTTCTCGTATCTCAGTGAGTTTCCTTAAGATTGCTGCTTGGAATTCCTTTTCAGTCATTTCAGGGGTTTCCTGCTTTATAGGGTGTGGTATTTGAGAACTACTATGTTCTTTTGGTGGCGTCATATTGTCTTAGGTTTTCATATTCCTTGTATTTCTACGCTGATGTCTGGTCATCTGGTAGATGCTTCTTCTATTACTCTGGAGTGGGCTTCGAGGAGAGAGACATCTTTTTCTGGTCTCCACTGGTGACTCTCCTTGTGTCAGTGCAGTCAGTTGTCTGGTGGGTCACCTGTACAGTGACTGTGGCTGCTGCTGTGGTGTCAAGCCACTTTTGTGGCAGCTGTGTCTGTGGCAGTGGCTGTGGTGGGCCACGCACATGGAAGTGGGTTTTTTGGCGTGCTCTCTTGCCTGCTTTTGGGTGGGGTTACTGCCTTCGCCCCTTGCCTAGGACTCGAGGTGTGCTCTCTTGCCTACATCGGGGTGTAGAAGGCTGCGTCCCTTGGCTCCTTGCCTAGTTCCCCAGGTGTGCTGTCTTGCCTGCTTTCAGGTAGAGGGGCTGTTTTTTACTTTTATAAATATGTTACTCTGGGTCCAATCAGGAAAGAGAAATTTGAACAGGGAAAGCTTAATATAGAGAATTATTATCTATAACAGGGGATTAGAGGAATGATTAGCTAGCAAGAAGTAAAGAGAATTCTAAAAAGTACAGAAATCTCAGGCATAAGGAGCAATCACTAATCCCAGGCTAAGAAAGAGTGTCCAAGGAAGAGCCCCATGCCACCAGGTCTGAAGAGGGCTCAGCTGAAGTTCAGTGGACCTCAGAGAAATCACTGTAGTTCTGTGCTGGTGGAGTTTGCTGGAAATCTGGCCTGTAGGGTGTTGGGGGAGACTGTTTCATGGGGAGGTGTCTCACTGGAGGCATTTTTGTTATAAAACTGCTCCAGGAGGTAGTAATCGTGTTAGGAGAAGTTGTTGGCTTCTGGATGCTGCTAGCCACTGTGCACCAAAGAGCCGGACATTGGCGAAGCTGCAAGTACTGTAGGAGCCTGTCAAGAGGGCAGGCTGGAGCCAGGAAGCAAAAACCCTTTCCTCCTGCAGTGTCTCTCGAGTCGCCTGCTTTCTGTCAAAGCTGGCAAAGGAAAAAATATTTAAGGAGCCCAGATCCCCTTTCACAGAGCAGTCAAAAAGGGTGAATTTGGAACTAAGAGGCAATAAATTGATACCCAGCATAGGAAACAACGTTTCAGAGAACATCCTTGTATATACATCATTGCATACTATCTGAACGTTTTCTTACATACTTTCCAGTAGTCTTAGAATTGGTAGATTAAAAGCCAGGCACAGTCTGCTTTCTAGAAAAGTATGTTAACTTATCCTCTCCCTGTGTAGAACTTGGGAGCTCCTAGTCCTTCACACTTTAGTTAACTGTTGGTATCATCATTTGTTTTAATCCTTACAAAATAATAAGCCAGAAAATCTCATCATGGTTTTTTATTTGTATTTTTTAAAAATTAGTAGTGATGTCAAAGCTTTTATTTACTTTTCCCTTTTTTTATTCTTTTGTGAATTTCCTATCTACATCCATTGCCCATTTTTAAAATGACGATATTATCTGTTTCTTACTGATTTGTACATGCTCTTTGTGTATTAAGTGTCAAAAAGTCTAAATGTTTATTTAGCCAAATCTCATATTATTTCATTTTTCATATTTAAAAATTTAATTCTTCTGGAAATCATTTTAGTATAAGGTGTGAGGTAGATATTTAATTTTTTTCTTATATTTTGTTCCAATAACGTTAACTGTTTTTTCTCTCTTTTCCTGACTGATTTAAAATGTTACTTTTATCATATATTGAATTGTGTTACATGCCTGGGTGTATTTATGAACTTTAAATTGCTTCCTTTGGTTTTTAGTTTCTTATATTTTGTTCCAATAACGTTAACTGTTTTTTCTCTCTTTTCCTGACTGATTTAAAATGCTACTTTTATCATATATTGAATTGTGTTACATGCCTGGGTGTATTTATGAACTTTAAATTGCTTCCTTTGGTTTTTAGTTAATCATTTTTCTTTTTCTTTCAGAACAAGATGCAGGCCTTGATGCCCTTTCCTCTATCATAAGTCGCCAAAAACAAATGGGGCAGGAAATTGGGAATGAATTGGATGAACAAAATGGTAAGAACAAGTCTGAGATTGACCAGATTTGCCATTTGGTATAAACACTAAAGGTCTGAATATTTGTTGCATGATTTTAATATCATGCAATATGTAAAGTGATTTAATGTGAATGGATTATTATAGTTTAATTCAATTGAGGGTGGTTTGTGGCAGATTTAGATTGTAGTTATTAAATACTATGTCAAGAAATTTGATAAAAAACATTTCCAGTTCTCAGTAGCTGCTTTTAAAAATTTTTTGGTTTTGATCCACTTATCTCAAGAGCTTTTCGTTTATGTGGCAATGGTATAAAATTGCTCAGTTCGTGGTGCACTCTGATGTAAGGCATAATAAGGCCATGTGTGCCTTGTATCATTTCCGTACCCACTGGAGTTTGCTCTTCTTCAATTATAAATACCAGCCTGTGGGGCAAAAGAGTGTTTGAAGGTCATTGTTCAGGGCTTGACACATCAATCTGGTTGGAGAAGGATTAATTTGCAAACTGCAAGCAAAATGGATTGGGAGAGACGGAGCTTCAAGACATGGAGGTTACCTGAAAGGCCTTGTGCTTGGTTGTGGGGTGAGGGGATGAGAGACTGGATGAGAGCTGTTGCAGTAGGAGTGGAGAAGAAAGGGTGGATGCAGGGGACTGGCAGCACTTTCAGTGTTGTGGACAAAGTCAAAGAAATTGAGTGGAGCCGCTAGTTTGCAAATGGAGATCATAAGTCCAGTTTGGACTTGTCCAGTTAGAGATGCCAGGGAGAGACCTGAATGGAAGTGTCTAGTCGACACTGGGAGATATGGTACCAGAGCCCAGGGCAGGGCCAGAGACAAGAGATGGCAAAAGCTTCAGCATAGAGGTGGTGTGTGATAGTGTAAGAGTAGCTGAGTTCCAGTGAAGCCAGCATTTATGGAAAGCTCCCTGCTATGTGCTAAGCACGTTCCTCTCTGTTATTTCATTTAATCACTACACAGCATCATAAAGGCAATGTTGTCTTTGTGCTAGAGATGAAGCTTAGGTGGCTGAGGGGCCTCCTAATAATACCACATCATTTATAAGTGACAGAACTGAAATTCCAACTCAGGTCTTCTGATTCTTTTTTTTTTTTTTAAAGATGACCAGTAAGGGGATCTTAACCCTTGACTTGGTGTTGTCATCACCACGCTCAGCCAGTGAGCGAACTGGCCATCCCTATGTGGGATCCGAACCCGGGGCCTTGGTGTTATTAGCACCGCACTCTACCGAGTGAGCCACGGGCCCGCCCTCAGGTCTTCTGATTCTAATGTGACTGCTTTTCCTACTACACCAGCCTCCACTCTAAGGAAGATAAAGTAGGGAGAGAAAAGTAAAAAGTAGAAGTTCTAATATTTTAGCTTTTGGTGATAATACCATGATGGAATGCCTTTCAAGAGAAGTTATCATGTATGAGTGAGCATCGCAGCCCTGGGAATGGACAAATGGTCACTCTGAAGGGAGGGCTACATTTGTCAACATTGTACAACAGGCACTTCTTTTCTGGATTATTAGCAAGAATGAGTTTGTTCGTTCCCACAGTCCTATTCCATTCATCTGTCATAAATAAATAAACTTCATCTGTTTATTGTCTATCATAAATCAATAGATTACTAAAGCAAATGGGGAAACCCTCTGTCTTTACAATCCTAGTAGGGGTTTTTAATAGTTTCAGCACAGAGAGGAGGACAATTTATTCCTCTCCCTGGTGGTGCTCACGTGAACAGGTTTATTGTCTATCATAAATCAATAGATTACTAAAGCAAATGGGGAAACCCTCTGTCTTTACAGTCCTAGTAGGGGTTTTTAATAGTTTCAGCACAGAGAGGAGGACAATTTATTCCTCTCCCTGGTGGTGCTCACGTGAACAGGCCAACTTACATATTTGCATATAATTCAGTTATAGGTCAGTTTCTTCCTTGAAAGACAGTATTGGTAAGAAAATAAGTTTTATAGAAAATATGCCTGTCTGCTGTATAATTGTACTTTATTCCAAGGAAATTTAACCTGTTCCATGGGTCAGAAAAGAAAGTATTCTAGCCACCAAACTGGTGAAGCATGCCCATCCTGTGGTGGGTGTAGACAAGCCACAGTGTCTGAGGGTAGATGGCTAGGAATTGGTGGTGCATGATTAGGTGGGTAACTTACTAATTTCCCAGATGAAATCACCATCTATTTTTCCAGCATAAGCAATCACACCAGCATGTCTTCTTCTTGTCTTTCCTCTAGTTTACAAATACTTTGCTGTGTATTATAATCACTGGGGGAGCTTTTAAAAGTCTCAAAGCCCAGGCCATACTTGTGTTAGTTTTCTCTTACTACTGTAACAAATTACCACAAACTCAGTGGCTTAAAACAGCTTATACTTAATATTTTACAGTTGTGTGGTTCAGAAGTCTGGTGTGAGTCTCACTGGGCTAAAACCAAGGTGTCCACAGGACTGTATTCCCTTTTGGAGGCTCTAAGGGAGAATTCATTTCCTTGCCTTTTCCAACTTTCTAGAGGCTGCCCACATTCCTTAACCTGTGGCGCCTTCCTTCATCTTCAAAGCCAGCAACAGGTTGAGTCCTTGCCATATTGTGTCACTCCTACTTCTCACTGCTGCCTCCCTCTACCACTTTTAAGGGCACTTGTGATTACGTTGGGCCCACGCAGATAATCCAGGATAATCTCCCTATTTTAAGGTCAGCTGATCAGCAAATTTAACGTCCCTTTGCCATGTAACCTAACATATGCCACAGGTTGCAGGGACTGGGATGTGGACATCTTTGGGGTGCCATTAATCTGTCTATCACAGTACTTTATACCAAGAAAATCAGAATCTCCAGGGGTGGGGCCCAAGCATCAATATTTTTTAAAGCTCTCCAAATGATTTTAACATGCTGCCAACTTTAAAAACCAGTCCCCTTGTTGAATATGCCGAATGTCTTAAATACCCTACTTTTATATTGCTTCTCATATGCTCATGTGACAGATCTAAACCCCACACATGCACAGAAGAACATTCGCATAGTTACATATATATACTCGGAGCATCATGGTCTCAGTCAGAGATTCTTTCCTCTAATCACACATCTCACCCTCATCCCTCTTGCTGCCTCCTCCAGGCCTCCCCAGTCCACATCTCCATTCTAGACCCTGTTGTATACATGCGTACATAGACAAACATGAGGTATTTTTCCATTAGTTGCCAAAATAAGCTGGGTTTTGTCTGTGGTGGCCTCCCAGAGAGATGGCAGCTATGCTGGTGGTTTTCTCATGTGCACATTTGCTCCTCAGAGATAGGGCAGAGTCAGCCACTTTCTTTCATAGGAGCTGAGAGACTCCAAGGATAAAAATTTATATTCCTGCCAGTACTATAATCAGCCTTTATTCCTTTCGTTAAAGTGAAAAAAGGTTGTTTATATTCATAGGTGTTAAGAATAGGGTTGCAGCCCCATCTGGATTTTTACTGTGATCTGAGTGTGCAATAAGGAGTCAGGGACACAAGAAAAGATTACGACTTTTGTTGTAAATATCTCTGTGTGATTTACTGACCTAATGAATTATTCATTTGGTTTTCATTAAATGGGAGAAACAATAGGCTAGGATAATGGCCAGCCGGGCCATTTTGGAATCAAATATCAAAACCTTACTAACAAAATGCATTGTACTTAGAACATAACCACAAAGCTGAAGGGTGGAATTATCTTCAGTTTAGGAATTCAGTTTCCAATCTTCTCATAGAGAGTTAAAACGGGTCTAACCAATACCGGTAATTACCCTGTCCGTATGCTAGTGACCAAACCTAATAAGGAGAAGGATTATCAGTGAAGTGAAAATCCCAGTGATGGGAGATCCGAATGTACACTGGCTTGTGGGGTCAGGCAAGAGGGAAGGGTGGAGCACTGAGCCAGTGAGAGGCCCTCATGGAACCCAGAATTTAGTGCCTTTCAGTTCAAGGCGAACTGTATGGATGGGTGGGCACAAAGGGCTCAGGACAGACCACCCCACATGCTGTTCCAGAACCAAGAGTTGTGGTACTGGTTTACTGAAAAATTCTTTGAAGTTCATGCTCAAGAAGAAAGGGCTTTTTTAAAAGAACATTAAAACAAGAATATGAGCAGGATTGTCTTGACTTAACTAAAGTAGCTGTTCTGAGACCTACTTTTGGCATTGGTCGAACCTAAAAATCAGCACCACAAGGAACCACAGAAGCATGATTCTGATGGATGAAATAGCACCGAGAACAAATCTCTGCTAGTTAATATGTGCAGGTCTTCATCATTCTTTTTGTGCTCAAATATCCCAGATTGACCAATCCTTTTGATGTTTCTGTCAATCTATGAGCATTTCCTTGCTTTCTGGAAGAGTAAGATGTACCAGGCTCACCTTTTTCCTAGTCCTAACCCTGGAATCTGTTTCTTTAAGGATCTCTGATTCCTTTTACTGGGAAATGGAGTTAAGAAACTGAGATCTTGGTGCAGACTATACCCATTGCCACTGGGGTATTATTGCTTTTAGGCCTTTCAGCATTGTTTCTTGGTCCTTTATAGGTGACCTATTTTCCCCTCTCTTTGGAATCTTTTAGGATCTTATCTCTGAGATTTTAAAATTTTATCAGTGTGACTTGATGTAGGTATATTTTCATTCATTGTGTTGGATGCTTGGAGTTCCTTACAATCTAGATGTTCCATTCTGGGAATTTCTCTTGTAATTTTCTTCCTTCTGTTTTTTTCCATTTTCTCTTTCTGCAACTCTTACTGGTCAGCTTTAGACCTCCTGGATCAATCCTCTAAGTCTCTTATTTTTTCTCTCTGAGTTACTATCTGTTTTGCTTTCTGATTTTAACACCACCACCACCACCACACATACATTTTTTAACCTTTGAGAAATGTTACCATGATTAACTTTTTATTTGTAAAACAGAATAGGTATATGTATATACATAGTGCTCCCCATTCATGAATGCCCAGTTACTCCTTCTTATTCAGCGTTGGTGAGTCACTAAATCCTATCCTAAAGA